AATGTTGTCTGTCTCCAGATAACTCTCTGGGCTATCATGTTTGCTGCACACTCGTCTGTACCTTGGAGGCTCTTTAAGCCATTGAGTCTTCAGCCTCATCCTTGTCCGTTACACGTGCATCTGTCTCTTGGCAACTCTCTAGGGTATCTTGTCTGCTAGAAAAGTCATTTGTCTCTAGTTGGCTCCCTGGGCCATCATGCATGCAATCATACTTGAATGTTCAACCAAATAAGGATCACGATCCATATTCTGCAAAAGGTCAAAAAAAATTAAATAACAATATCTATAAAACGCCAATAAATAGAACTATATTCACGATACTTCTAATCTGTAGTTCAGCTGCAACAAATTCCGGATCGCTTGTCACACTGCCAGCATCCACTCATGCTGTTTGTTGATTCTGACTGTGCTTTCTCATGTGCAGTCTGGCTCTGCATATCGCTCGCTCTATAAACTTGTGTAAAAGATTCTTCGAAGCAATGGCCTCTGTCCATGTGAATACACATATTGTTTAAATATGTATAACCTAGAACTGCTAAGACGCAACCCCTTGTAACATCCAAATAATGGATTTCCATAAATCAGAGAAGCAAAATGAAGCACCGGAAAAAAAACATAGATTGACATTAACGTTTCGGAGTCTGGGTACGAAATTTCTTCTTTCCATTTGGTACTTTCTGAACCTTATGGCCTTGTCCTCTTTTTCTTGGCCTTTGTTTCATCAGGTGGCTTGCAGCTGGTGTTCAGCTCATCTTTCTTTTCGTGATCTTCCTTTCAAGACTCCTGCAACCATATCATATTTGATTCTCTAAGGCACTGTCATATCTCCACTTCTATCGCACTGGCCTCCACTCTATCGACTAGCATTCTCTATATTGCTCTGCCATCCCATTGCAGTGACATACCATTGGCTTTGAGATCCCTTTCCTTTGACACTCCTTTGCTTTGGCATCCCCAATATGTAGCATAGATTTTGTTGCGTCATTATTTGAATTCAAATGCGATTTAGGGTATGTGCCGCAGTATATAATTTTAATAAAAATGTTCATATTATGTCTTAACTTGATGAACTTAGAATAAACTTTGTCATATCTAGAACCATACTTAATCAGTAAGAATTTATTTGAAGAAATAAAATAAATGCATTAAAAATAACAAAAAACAGCTAAAAATGACGTAAAAACTGGGGACCCACAACGTCCCGCACTCTAGGATTAGGGATTAGGATTAGGGATTTGGATTAGGGATTAGGATTAGGGATTAGGGATTAGGATTAGGGATTAGGATTAGGGATTAGGATTAGGGATTAGGATTAGGGATTAGGATTGGGGATTAGGATTGGGGATTAGGATTGGGGATTAGGATTGGGGATAAGGATTACAGAAAGGGACGCTCTCAGTCCCCACGTTTCTCAGTCCCCACGTTTCTCAGTTCCCACGTTTCCACATGTCTGGACAGACGACGTGACAGATTACATATGAATCTTTGTTAGGAAAAATGTTACGTCTACGGAATTCATGCTTATGAATCTGTAGTGTCACTAACAAGCAGACTTGAGGAACACCTGACTCTGATTATATTTCTAATTCACAGGAAAGAAAGAGCCACACAGAAAACAAACTTTTTTTTTTTTTTTGGCTGACCCCCCCCCTTTACCTCTCCCAAGACGGCCTATAGAGCAAACCCAGATATATTTTTTCTTGTCGTGGAGCTTCTTACATTTGTGTTCTGTTCTTGTTCTTGTTTCTTGCTATTTTTCTTGTTTCTGTGGATATCTCATATGCTTACCTGATGCGTCCTGATAATTTGCTTTGAAGAGTGTTTGCAAACGCAACGGACAGGCGTATAAACTAACAAGGTAGACATACCATAGAAATCCCATAAGAACCCAGTGGAAATCATATAAGAATAACATATGAGACTGTAGCAGATAACATGGCCCAGAGAGCCACCTAGAGCCACCAAGATAGCCCAGCTAGGGGAGGGGAGGAATCATCTGAAAATATCATAGATATAACATAGAATTAGTATAGGTACCACAAAGAAATCCCATAAGAATATCATAGATTTCCCTCAGACATCTCATAGGAATTCCATAGAAATATCATAGACATACCATAGAAATCCCATAAGAACCCACTGGAAATCCCATAAGAATACCATACGAGGCTGTAGCAGGCAAGATGGCCCAGAGAGCCACCTAGAGCCACCAAGATAGCCCATCTAGGGAGACACTGTCCTGTCTCCTATTCTGTTTGATTGGTCTCTGCCCCATAGTAAGCAGACTGGGATCCCCTCCATTGCTTCGATATCCCATGGCCTTGACAAGAAAACAAAAGGAGAACAGGTATAAAGGGAACACGAAGAATAAGATGATAAAAAATCTGGATGGCTCTCTGGGCTATCTTGCCTCAAGCAATGTCATCTGTCTCTAGGTGCCTCTCTGGGCTATTTTGTCTATTACAATGTTGTCTGTCTCCAGATAACTCTCTGGGCTATCATGTTTGCTGCACACTCGTCTGTACCTTGGAGGCTCTTTAAGCCATTGAGTCTTCAGCCTCATCCTTGTCCGTTACACGTGCATCTGTCTCTTGGCAACTCTCTAGGGTATCTTGTCTGCTAGAAAAGTCATTTGTCTCTAGTTGGCTCCCTGGGCCATCATGCATGCAATCATACTTGAATGTTCAACCAAATAAGGATCACGATCCATATTCTGCAAAAGGTCAAAAAAAATTAAATAACAATATCTATAAAACGCCAATAAATAGAACTATATTCACGATACTTCTAATCTGTAGTTCAGCTGCAACAAATTCCGGATCGCTTGTCACACTGCCAGCATCCACTCATGCTGTTTGTTGATTCTGACTGTGCTTTCTCATGTGCAGTCTGGCTCTGCATATCGCTCGCTCTATAAACTTGTGTAAAAGATTCTTCGAAGCAATGGCCTCTGTCCATGTGAATACACATATTGTTTAAATATGTATAACCTAGAACTGCTAAGACGCAACCCCTTGTAACATCCAAATAATGGATTTCCATAAATCAGAGAAGCAAAATGAAGCACCGGAAAAAAAACATAGATTGACATTAACGTTTCGGAGTCTGGGTACGAAATTTCTTCTTTCCATTTGGTACTTTCTGAACCTTCATGCCTTGGTCCTCTTTTTCTTGGCCTTTGTTTCATCAGGTGGCTTGCAGCTGGTGTTCAGCTCATCTTTCTTTTCGTGATCTTCCTTTCAAGACTCCTGCAACCATATCATATTTGATTCTCTAAGGCACTGTCATATCTCCACTTCTATCGCACTGGCCTCCACTCTATCGACTAGCATTCTCTATATTGCTCTGCCATCCCATTGCAGTGACATACCATTGGCTTTGAGATCCCTTTCCTTTGACACTCCTTAGCTTTGGCATCCCCAATATGTAGCATAGATTTTGTTTCGTCATTATTTGAATTCAAATGCGATTTAGGGTATGTGCCGCAGTATATAATTTTAATAAAAATGTTCATATTATGTCTTAACTTGATGAACTTAGAATAAACTTTGTCATATCTAGAACCATACTTAATCAGTAAGAATTTATTTGAAGAAATAAAATAAATGCATTAAAAATAACAAAAAACAGCTAAAAATGACGTAAAAACTGGGGACCCACAACGTCCCGCACTCTAGGATTAGGGATTAGGATTAGGGATTTGGATTAGGGATTAGGATTAGGGATTAGGGATTAGGATTAGGGATTAGGATTAGGGATTAGGATTAGGGATTAGGGATTAGGATTGGGGATTAGGATTGGGGATTAGGATTGGGGATTAGGATTAGGGATTAGGATTAGGGATTAGGATTAGGGATTAGGATTAGGATTAGGGATTAGGGATTAGGACTAGATTAGATTAGGATTAGATTAGATTAGGATTAGATTAGATTAGGATTAGATTAGATTAGGATTAGATTAGATTAGGATTAGATTAGACTAGGATTAGATTAGATTAGGATTAGATTAGATTAGGATTAGATTAGATTAGATTAGATTAGATTAGTTAAACAAAAAATAAAACAAATACAAAACACACACACACCAAAAAAAAAACATTGTTCAAATCGATTTTGCACATAACTCTGATTTCCCAGACTTCCAAACCACCAACCCAAACCGCCATATAAGTATAACCTGATAATATGCACACATATATCCCCAAGATATCGCAATGAAAGGATGTGTCTTATATCCCATCGATTGCATTTCAAAGTCATCAAAAAATATCCCAGGCGTCAACAATATTCTCAAATATTCCCATTACATACATACATTGCATTAGGTTCTTTGCTGTTACCATGACCATTAACGTTACCATTACCAAAATATCACACTCTACATAGTCATTTATATCTACATATGTATGTGCACTTACCTACTATGTATATATATATATTTGCACTTACCTACTACTTATAAAATCATTGTTGTATACAATTGTATATATATATATAAACGTTGACATTCCAAAAGTATCCTATTAGATGTGCATATTCTATTCTATTCTATGACATTACATATTATATTATATTATATTATATATTATATTAAATCATATTATATTATATATTATATTATGTTATATTATAAAAAAAAAAATATATATAATATATTATAATATAATATATTATGATATAATATATTATGTTATATTATATTAAAATATAATATAATATATTATAATATATTATATTAAATCATATCATATTATATTATATTATTTTATTTAATTTTTTATTATATCATATTATAAAAGATTATATTATATTTTATTATATACGTATATGTTTATAGTATAATATATTAAATACGTATATATTTATATTTATATCATATCATATCATATTAAATTAAATTAAATTATATTATATACGTATATATATTTATATTCCAACAGTACATTGTCTTCGTATCACAGCTACGAGTACCATTCCCTGTTCCCATCTTCAACAAGTCACGATGGGCAACGACCACCGTTGCAGCTGCTGGAGCAGCTCGGCCCAAGCCTAGCCGGTACTGATAGGGTTGCTCCCAACACTCCACATACAAGGGGAGTAAAAGGAGATAAAGAGGTACCGGGTAAACTAACGTAGTGGAAAACCCAAAGAAAACCGATGGTTTCCCATTCACAAAATCATCTCGAAATGGCTGATGTTCCATCAGTTTTTCACATTTTCCCACCTGAAAGTGGCTATAGGTAGATCCTCTAAAACATAAGAGATCATGCCCAGCGACAAACACTGTACCAGTTTCACGTGCTAAGCAAGGGTGATCAAGGGGGTGTTTCCATGAAAAGCTGAAGTCCAAGTGAAGAGTTTGGACCTTCGGAAGGGTTGCTGGACGCATTTCGGGAGTCTGAAGCTGGAATTTGAGCTCCGGGAGGGGAAAATTCCTCAGTACATGAGTACCATCATGGAATTCAACCAACCCCCCAGGTCAAGTGACCCGCCCAGAACAAATGGTTAAACTTGGCCCTTACAAGAATAGCTGCTGATGGTTCTTAAGCGCTCCATAAACCTTTCTTGTTGGGGGGTCTCCTTTGGGGAGATGTTGTTTCGTTACATCCCCCTATATCTCCATTTTTGCTGGGTAGAGCCCCCATGTATAGCCATTTATTCGCTGTGTAGGTCATCCTCATGATTCCTTTCTGACCCAATGTCCTTCACGGGAGCCCTGCCTGCGTTGCTTGACAGTCGCTACAAGAGCCGACCACCCAAAGAAAAATCCCATGCCGACCACTCTCTGGGGACATTGACCTGGCTGACACCACAGAGAAAAAGAAAGTTGTGGGAGGATCATTCGGAGCTTGGGTTGTTTCTCATTTGGGGTCTCGCTCGGGCATGTGTCTCGCTTCGGATTCCCTAAACAACTGGTAAATTCGGCCGATTAGGCCTACCAGGGTAGACATCCAGTAATTGGGGATTAAGGGTGTGGTACGGAACAGGTTCGCGCAGCTGCAGTTTTTTTGCATAGTTTTTCGCATCTGTGCTGTGCACGCGCAAGCTGTGCTGTGGAAGCGTGCAGCCGGGGCAGCGCGAGAAAATGCAGCAACTGCCCGAGAGCTTGAGCCGCATGTCGCGATGCCGCTAATCGTTTGAAGTCATCACAAAAAGGTTTCGGAGAGCACCTGCTAAGGATGATTTCAGAGGGCTCTGGCAAGATCTCCGTAACAGATTTTGATGCAAAATCTGTATCACAGGTGGCGTGGCAAGATCTCCGTGCCAGGTCTATGCAAGTTCCCTTTGTGAAGATCTCTGTCAAAGATCGTGCACAAGATCTCCTTGACAGGTTCTGTGTAAAAGCTGCTGTACAAGATCCCTGTGTAAGGCTAGCTGTACAAGGTGTCTATAAGAGATCTCCACAGAAGATCTCTGTGAGCAATCTCAAAGTAAGATCTCTATTGAAGCTCTCTAGACAACATCTTTTAGCAAGATCTTTGCTCCCTTCACCAGGTCTCTGTACAACATCTCGTCTATTAGTGGTCTCCTGCCCAGATCTCTGTACAAGATCTCTAATTATAAGGGTTCTGTTGGCAAGATCCTGTGGGAGGTCTCTTGGCAAGATCTCCGAACAAGATCTACACAACAGGTTTCTTGGCAAGATCTCTGTGCAAGCTCCCTAGAAGAGGTCTCAAGTTGAAGTCTCAAGGCACAAGGACAGACCAAAAGACCCAGTGTGCACGGGAAAATGATGGAAAATGCAGGACACTAATACCGCAACACCCGTTTCGTGCGAGCCTGCGCAGTCGAAATGCACATGGACATATCATAAGAACCATTTTGCGTGGAAATTTACAGGGGACATGCCGGACGCGTCGCCCGGGGCCATCGCTTTGTGCGCGCCTGCGCAATCGAAAAGCACACGGACATATCATAAGAGCCATTTTAAGCGGAAATTTACAGGGGAAATGCCGGACGCATCGCCCGCGGCCATCGTTTTGTGCCAGCCTGCGCAATCGAAATGCACATGGACATTTCACAAGAGCCAGTTTGTGCGGAAATTTACAAGGAAAATGCCGGATACCTCGATTGAACACCGGGCCTTAACACCTACCGTTCGAACCCCTCAGTGTGGCCACACTGTTTGGGGAACAAATGGTGCCGTGTGTTTTGCCATCCTGCCAAGTTTTTGCACAATCAAAATTGCCATAGTCTACAGACTAAGGTTTATCCCAAATTATTGAGACAAATCCTTAATTTCGAGCCATGCTAGGTTTTGCAACCCCTGATCTGCCAAAAGAACCCTATGTAGAACTGGACATCAGGTCGCAAACGTTGAACTAACTCCAAACCATCCAAACCCTCGAACCGGCCACGGGGCTCATTCATATCGTCCAAAAGCTTTTGCAGAGTGCTTTCACCACAAGTGCAGTCGACCATCGCAGTCAACACGACCATTTTGTTCGCTGTCCTGCCAATCAAAAAACTGGCTGCCAACCTTCCCGTGGCAATTCGTGATCCTAAAGGGCTGGGATCTGGCAGTGATGCTACCAATCTTCACATGAATATGGTTCCAAACTGCTAACTATGTAACTATGCTATGTATATACATACCGTATAGATGTGTTGAAAGAAAAGTTCCAATCACCCAGGTTATCTACCACTTTGATCGGGCAACACACAATACACAGATCAGCATCGCCAACAATGCTCCAAGCAGTCAACCCTGGCCCGTAGGAGTCCTTTGGATGAACGATGCTGCAAACCTACCCCTGGACCCCTGCTCAGCCAAAGATAGCTGCAGAACGGGGGCTGTTGGTAGCTAAGATTCACCCAAAACATAAACCCAAACATCGGAGGGATTGAAGAAATACAGACATGGCTGTATGAACAGAATCAGGGAACTAATGAATAGATTACTAATGGAGGAGGTTGGTTGAATCCCCATGTGTGTACATGTATATGAAGTAATCTAGCCATTAGTTCCCTGATTCTGTTCATACAGCCATTGTCTGCATTTCTTCATCTAGTACGCATTACATTGACTACATGGATATTACATGTATATTACATGTTTTTTGAAGTTTCAGTATTCAACACAATTAATCGGGTGTGTATATATCTATGTATTTTAGCATATTCTTGATCTATATATATATATATATGTGTGTAACTGTGTAACAATACTTCGACACCAAATTCAGAACCTTTCACGTCACCTGAAAAGGTTCCAAACCTCCAAATCTTGCATCTGCGCCTTGCATCTGCGCCTTGCATCTCTGGTCATTTCCTTATGTACTACGTATCCTATACTTACTCATCATTCACACGAATGTATATATGATATCTGTATCTCCAAACTCACATATCATGATTGGATTATTACAATGAAAATCTGTATGTTTTAAATAAATTGACATATGATAATATATATATATATATGTACTGCTATAAATGGAAAAAAAAATATAGCTCCACCAGGCCTGGCGGCCCGTCCCCAGCGTCTGCCTTGGAGGCAACAATACAAGGTGGTACTAACCAAAACTGTGGTATAATGTTTTTTGTTTTTTTGTTTACTGGTTTTAAATCTTATTTTTTATGGTGTTCCAGTTTTTTGAAGGTTTTATCTTGCGTATATGGTTTTATATGTTTTTATATGGTTTGGTCTGGTTTAAAATGGTCTTATCTGGGTTTACATGGTTTTATTTGGTTTTAAATGGTTATAACTTATAACTGTTTGCATCTGGTTTTGTATATATATATGGTTTTATCTGGTTTCAATGGTTTTAAAAAGTTTTAAATTGTCTTATATTGTTATATCAGGTTTGATATGAATGTATACTGTTAAAATTGTTGAAATCTGGTTTTTAATGGTTTTATCTGCTTTCATATGGTTTTTTATCTGGTCTTTATGGTTTAACATTCTTTTTAATGGGTTGATATGGTTTTATCTGGTTTTAATATGGTTTTATATTGTCTTGGTTTGTGTTATATGGTTTTATATGGTTTTATATGGTTTTATCATGTTTTATTTGGATGTATATGATTTTTATCTGGTTTTATCTGGTTTTATCTGGTTTTAATATGGTTTAATAGTGTTTTGATATGGTTTAATGGTGTTATAAATGTTTTAATATGGTTTTTGCAGTGTTTTTTGTGTTGTTTTGTCTGGTTTTATGTGGCTTTATCTTGCTTAATGGTGTTTAATATGGTGTTATATGGTTTTTCTTGGTTTACATAGTTTTGCAACTATATATGGTTCTATCTGGCTTTAAATTGTTTTTTCTGGCTTGGTATGACTTTATATTGTTTGATCGTGTTTTGAATAATTTTTATCTTCTTGAAACTGGCTTTTATTTGGTTTATTATGGTTCAAAATGGTTTTAATCTGGCTTTATATGGGTTTATCTGGTTTTAATATATGTTTATCTGGTTTTTTCTGGGATTATATGTTTTTTATGTTGTTTTATCTGCTTTAAAATTGTTTTTATCTTGCTTTTTCTGGTTTCAATATGGTTTTATCTGGTTTATCTGGCTTTATCTGGTTTATCTGATTTTAGTTTGTTTGTATCTGGCGTTATCTGGTTTTAATATGGTCTGAAAAGGTTTTGATCTGGTTGAATGAAGTTATATTCATTATTTGGCTTTATTTGGCATTAATATTGTTTTTATATGGTTTAAAAAGGCTTTTATGTGGATTTTTGTATGGTTGTATATGGTTTAATGTTGTTTTCTTTGGTTTAATGGGATTCAATATTGCTTTATTTGTTTCTATTTGGTTTTACATGGTTTTTTGCACTGTGGTTTGATATGGTTTTACCTGAATTAATAGATTTTGCGTGCCCGGTGTTCCTAGACGTTGCACTACATGCACAAGGGTCTGAAATGCCAGGTGGAAACTGGTCTTCAGTGCTATGTACGCACTCTAGACCCTGGGCCCTGATATCTCGAGGTATCCCCATTCAAGAGCTGAGGGTATCCAAAGGTAATCTACCCACTTGATATTCATGATACCCGCTTGTACCTCCATTCTCATTGAGTACGAAATTTTGCAACCGCACTAATTCTTTGTACGGAAAATATTGACCCATACCAAACCTCATTTGTTTCAAACCCATTGGCGAAATGATGGGGTGACGGTTGTCGTTGACATATCCAACAGGGCCTATATAAGTCTCAAAAGACGTTGACACGCGGACAGGTAGGCCAATGCAAGAGATGTGGTACCGGCTGGTTTGGGGCAGCGGTTTCCTTCCAAATACAGATCTTCTTACTGCAATGGGAAATCCCCTGCAACTGTGCATTTCAAGTGGAAATCATCTACAAACAGCGAATTTTCTATTGACATGTTTGATTACCGGAGGGTAGAGAGTTTCATTTGAGAACTGGTTCCAGGGAAATCGCCAGGAAACCTAAAAAGAATGGGATGGAAAGGACCCATGGGTTTCCTATCAAAATGTCCTGGACAACGGCCCCAGTCCCCAATGTTTTGAAGATCCTAATCCCGGAATTGGTTGAGGGAGACTTTCTAGGAAACCACCATGTTTCATTGCAAACATCATGGTTTCCGGTTAAGCTGTTCTTAATCTAATCAATCCATGGCATGTTCTTTTTGATAGTTGAATCCCTTTTTTTTTGCCACTTCAACCCCACTTTTGAACGCACACATAACGACCTGCCACACATCTCCATTGCATCCTGGCGGCAGATCCGTGACCTTGTCCAGCAAAAACTGCATGCCGGCCAGCGTGGCAACCTGAAGAGCGACACCCAACAGCAGGTGCATGTGCCCAGTGCCTAGTTGAGTCCAGTGGGGATGGGTCAAAACCCTATCCCCCTGTAGTTCACATCAAAATAGCTGGTAAATGGATGTGAATAACCCCCTAAAAATGGTATGTATAGGTATTGATCCATAGCCAAGTAGGGTTAGTAGACTTCTTAGTCCAGTTGGAACTGGGGTTATGACATGTTATGACATGTTGGCAAGCATGTCATCAGCCACTAAATGGGGTGAACCACTGAGTATCCCTGTAAATTTTGTTTACAAACTTTTTTGGACCGTGTTGGAACGGAACCTACGCCATTGCCATGTACAAAAAAAATGAAGCTTGGGAGTGCCAAACGGAAACTCTGCCCCAGCCCGGAAAACAAAGCACTACAGCTACGACACCAAAAGCACCTGGCCTTTTTCTGCGCCAGGGCTAGGGTTTCCTGGCTGTGGAGAAAATGGAAGGGTCAACGATGATCTTGGCACCCCATGGAACACATGAAGGTTACTCATCCTCATCCCATTTATTTTTGAGTTGGGATGGAAACAACATCAGATCTAGAACCGTCTAAAACATTCTAAAACATTCCAAGAATAGTTGACTTTGAGTCGTCGCTTGCAACTTAAATCCTCTGGGATTTTTTTATAGCAATTCACTCACCTGAAAAATCAGCAAGAATATTCCAGTGAGTTTTCACTAACCTATTGGGGTGGCAGTCCTTCAACACCGATGCCAGAGGCTCGAGCCCGTACCTGAAAAGACAACGATTTTTAGATGGATGACCTGCCAAAAATGGGAATGACATAAATATCAAATATAAAATACGCACATAACATATATATATATATAATTGCATATTATGTGTATATATATAATATTGTATATTATGTGTATGTATATATATATACATATATATAGTGCCAGGCGCGTAGAGGTTCCATTCCCGACAACCAGCCATTGCTTCCCATCAACAATCATGAAGAATCAAAATTCCCACACCCCTCTGTACAAGATACTGATAGTTGTAATAGAAAACTAAGGGAGTTGCTGGATGTTGCTGGTTAAATTCTTCATGAATCATGAAGAACCAAAATTCCCGCCCCCTCTGAAGAATATACTGGTAGTTGTAATGGGAAACTAAGGGAAGAGTAGTGGCGTTGCAACTTTAAAACGCGCACGCAGATTCCACGGAAAAACACACCCCGTGTGCGTCAAGAGGTCCATGACCCGCGGTTGGGGAAATAAGAAACATCATCATACACAATCATCAGATTATACCGCAAACACCACGGTTTTAGAGCCTTTGAGACAACGCCGTTCATGGAGCGCGGTACCCCATATGTATATATGTATGTGTATATATATACATATGTATATACATATATATATGTGTGTGTACATGTCTATGTATATATGTATATATGTATATATGTATATATGTATATATGTATATATGTATATATGTATATATGTATATATGTATATATGTATATATGTATATATGTATATATGTGTGTATGCATATTAGTGTATATATGTATATATGTATATGTATATATATATATGTATATATATATGTATCTATATGTATATATATATGTATATATTTACGTATATATATATATGTATATATATATATGTATGTATATATATATGTATATATATGTATATATATATATGTATATATATGTATATATATATATGTATATATATATATGGTTGTTGATCAAAATTCCTTTATCCCGGAACGGCCATTCTTCGCGAATAAAAATTTTACTTTCGCGAAACTTTCGCGAACTCCATGTTTATCTTTCGCGGGGCCCATGTTGGCCAACAACACCTCTTATAAAGATTCGTTCACCACCTGCCAAATTACGCCAGAGAATCACGGATCACTTCTTGATAGCCTTTTAAACATGCAGCTAGCATCACGGAGTTCCTTCTCAGGGCAGATTGTTGCCTAAGTTTTTGTTGGCAAGGTTTACTGGCCCACCCCCTTCAACATGCACTTTGACTTTCGCCCGCTCT